CTTTGTTGGCAGCATTTTTTACTTGTCTTTCTCATTTCAAACCCTTGGATATATAAATACCTAAATCCTTTTCTAGAGTAGATTTTTCAATTTCTTTTGGTTCACCATCATTTTTCATGAAATAAGAATATTTTTTATTACTTGCACTAAAATGCATATTTTACATTTCTCAAAATTCAAACCCAATTTCCATTTAACAGACCATTTATCAAGGTTTTTTATGTCATTTAAATGATTTTGAATCAACCTCGGTATAAATAGGAGCAATTATTTTATTGTCATCGGCATACAAACAACCTTTATTAAAAAGTCTGCTTGGTAACTCGTTTATAAATATCAGGAAAAGGAGTGGGCCAAGTAAAGAACCTTGTGGTACTCCACTTAACACATCAATCCTACTTGTCTTGCATTTTCTTATCACTACTCATTGTTTCCTGAATGATTCGATTCATTTGAAAGGCATATCAGCAATACCATAAGCATAAACCTTAGCACATAATTTTATGTGTGATACTTATTCATCTCTTACTATTCAGAAAGCCATACAGTTTCTTTGCTAATAGCTTCTTTGTTATTAAATACTTGATTATATTATCAGCAATTATTCTTTCTAATATTTTACATGGTATTGATGTCAGAGATACTGGTCTGTAGTTTGTTGATTTCAACTTTATAGTAGGCTTCTTCCAAATATCAGGTACAGTGCCATCTTCTGTAGATTTTTTAAATAATAAATAAAGAGTTCAAAAACCTCATTTTTTGATTTAACACCTTCCGTTTTAAACGCCTTACGTTTTATATGTTTACATGTTTAAACGTGACAGCAAAACATTTATCTTTTGAAGCTAATAGTATTTACAAACTTTAAAATATATAGACAAATATAATTTTATTTAAATGAACAAATAAATTGGTGCATGTAATTTGTACATATATCTTTGTACAACACCATGTTTAATTTACTTTATACATGGTATTGTACAAATATTACAATAGAAAAGTTAAATTGAACGTCAAATGTGGCCGGGTTTCTTTTCTAAATTTCATGTATCTACCTCATTTTTTGATTAGTATTAAATCTTAATGAATAGAAATTCAATCAATATACTATCTTAAAGGGTGGCATAGGAAGAATTTTCTGATACTTCAAATATGATACCTAGAGACATTGTGCAAACTTCAAACTCAAGTATATACATATTTATGTTAAATGACAATGTTTTGAAAAAAATTGTAGTTACTGGAGCATGGGAAAAAAATACCTAAAAAAGTTAGCCTCTCTACTGCAAATATGCAGGCAATGAGTTAATAAAAGATATTTTTTTAGCATATTTTACGAAACTTAAATTTCTCAATAGGTTTTAAGTTTCGTTGAAAAAATCTTTTTAGCGTTCATTGGTTATGACCTTGAAAATCTTTACCCTCCCTAAAATGAGTAGACTGAAAATTTCACATGGTCATAAAGTTCGAACACAAAAATTTTTAAACACTACTACAATATACGTTTAGCATGAGGATACTAAAGTTTGAAGCAGTTTCTAAAAGTGTCATATATGAAGCATCAAAAAATTCTTCCTCCTCCCTTCCTCCTCCACTAAACTTAGACACATTTAGTGATCGACTAAATTAAACAAATATGATAAACAAATAGCAATTATTTGTTATACAAAATTAAGACAAAATAACAAATTTTAAAAAAGCTTTCTTGTTTATGAGAAATTCAAGTAAGAATTAAAATTTTTCTGGTTCTAGGCCAGGCTTAACTTCACCTACTGTTTTGCAAAGGTTAGTTCTGCGGGTTGCATTAAAAATTGCATTTGGCTGATAATTAAACTGACATTCTGCTGATTGTAAAAATTTAAAACAATTTTAGAAACTTTGGTCACAGCATTTAATTTGGGATCATTTCGTTTAAAAACTTAATTCATAATAACAAGAGTCCATGCAACAATTCATGCAACGAATATGGTTTTTAATTTATTTATAGCCTTTTTATAATTTTCTATTGAATACTTTTTTATTGATATTTTTTTTAGGTTATTGTTTTTAATATAAATAATAATATAATAATGTAACAAAGCCAAGTAATTAGAAATTGACCAACCCCGTATAAACTAATGCTTTAGATATAATCAAAAAAAAGTTTGCAAAGTTTGAAGAGAATCAAAATTTATATGAGCAACAAGAGGATTTAAATGTTACAAAAATCAATTTTTTTATTCTGAAAAATTAACGATGGTGGAGGTTTTCACTTTTTGTCATGCAAGATCAAGCATTTTCATTCCACCTAAAATCTAAAAAACAGGAAGACGTTTTCTTTCATTGATAGCTACGACCAGCCTTTGCAATGCCAAAGATTTGTAATAAATTTTTAAAGAGCGTATAACTCTCTGATCCATTGATTAAAGTTTAGATGTGGTATTTGGTGGTAAATGAGATCAATAGATTTTAGATTATGAAACGTCGGGTGTGCTGGGCAGTTATCTATTACGAACGCTACTTTTTCTTCTTTTCTTTTGTAAACTTTGTATCCATTTCTCGTATCCACTCTTCAAACAGTACAATGCACATCCTAGTTTTATTTTGATTTCTGTTTCTGCAAGGTAGGTGCTTAGCTCTTTTGAAGCAGCGAGGTGATTTTGATTGTCCTATAACAAACATAGGAGTTTGCAGAAAGTGAAGCGGGTGATACCGCTGCACTTTCTGCGACCATCCCTGTAAGACAATTTTTACTGTGCATTCTCCTATACAAGTCCCAAATTGAAAATTTAGTGACTTATAAGGTTGCATGAGAAAAAACAATCCAAATTCATAAGTAGCCATAATAAATTCGATAGTAGCCATAATAAATTGTAAACACAACAAATTTTATTATAATATCGCAACGCACGATATTATAATAAAATTTGTTGTTTTAATGTGAAAGTACTGGTGAGGTATTGTTAAAAATTGTTAAAAGTATAACTTATACTATAAACGAAGCTATCAAACTATTGTTATAATTTACTTTGCAATGCAAGTGCTTCATTGCGGGTTTTTTTATAATTTTATTCTCAAGTTCGAGTTATCGGAAAAGTATTAGCCATGGGAACTGTTAAATGGTTCGACTTAGCGAATGTTCGAGCTAACAGGTGTTCAAGTTATCGAGTTGTTTTAATGTGAAAGTACTGGTGAGGGTTCAAGGGGAACTCAAAAGTATTCGAGTTACTGAAAGTTCGAGTTATACGGGGTTCGAGATTTCGGGATTTCACTGTATTTTACGTCGTAAAAAATGCCTGATATAAAAAAAAAAGATTTTTGACATTATCAGACGTCTTAAATATGTTAAATAAATTTAAAATTGAAGAACAAAATTAAAGTGTAAAAATTGAGGCTGAAGTTTTGAATCATCATCTCTGTTAATATTTGTTAACTTCTTAACCTTTCTCTCTATTAACGTCTTATCGACGGCTAAAAAACCTCTTTTAAGTTTTTGTACAGGTGCATGCAAAAATGTATTTAACATGTCAACCATTATTATGCTTTTTAGAGCTTCAGTGCTATAAATGTTATCTCTACCTAATGGGCACTAGGCGTGGTTTAGACAGTTTAAAATGTATTAATGTGTTTTAATACGTGTTTTAGACAACTTAAACCCGTCTTGTGCCCACTAGGTATTGCTTAAATTGGTATTGTGGTATGATTATAATCCAAAATTACTTTATATAATAATTTTTTTTACGAAGAAGTTAAGATAATATTAGAAGATATCTTTAAAGACATCTTTTAAATATCGTCTACAAATGTGCATTTTAGACTTTTTGATGACATCTTTTAGATGTATTTTAAAGGTTTTTGTATTTACTGGGGCTGGTGTTGAGCATTGAGTTTTACTTATTTGTGTGGGATCGGGCTTGATGTTATTCTAAGTCTACCGTATGTTGTTTACAAATTTTCAAAAACAGTGGCAAACATGACACGATAGTGTGCATCGTCAAGTGAGCTCAACTTAATTTTTAATAGCATATTATACATGTTATTCTATAAAAACCTGAAATTACAGTAGTTAACCGTTTACCAGTTAGAAATTTATATTAAATATTAGTAGGGTGGTGGATGATTTTATCTAAGGGCTCCGCAAACCATAACTGAATCAGGTCTAGTTGCCACTGAATCAGGTCTAGTTTCTAAATGAAACAAAATTCAAATTTATCGGGATTCAAACCTGGAATTAAAAAAATCTAAACAACAAAATCAAAAGCTTAAATGTTTATTTTTCCCCCCTGATATATATATATATATATATATATATATATATATATATATATATATATATATATATATATATATATATATATATATATATATATATATATATATATATATATATATATATATATATATGTATATATATATATATATATATATATATATATATATATATATATATATATATATATATATATATATATATATATATATATATATATATATATATATATATATATATATATATATATATATATATATATATATTTAAAAACAAATTCAAGAAGCCCACCGGTGGGCTTCTTGAATTTGTGGACCGATTGGCCAGTGAATAAAGTAAGAATGATTAACAACTGTGAATAAAATAAGAATATTTAAACAAATAAAATTTTCCAGTTTCTATATTTATTTTATGTAAGAAATATACAAATTTTTAATATTAAAAAAAAAGAACTTGTTTTCAGTTGTGTTCAGTTCAGCTTTGTATTAACAGTTTTTTTTTTTTAACTTCGCATATTTTTTTGAGAGTGATTGTTAATATTATTTTTCTTAAGCAACACCTATGTAAAAATGTCTTAAGATATATTAAAATGTTATAAATTTTATATAAAAAAATGTAATTTGTGATGTAAATACTTTATCGTCTATCAAGAAGAGTGAGATCAGTGTTTACGTTATATTTAACGGTACTTAATAAACTAAATTTTTAATATACCGCAAGCGAGGGTTTCCTAAAGTGCACGAGATTTAACTTTAAGTTTGTCTAAACAACATTCATATTTTTTAAAGCGGCATATAAACAAAAGCAGCATCTCATATATTTCCTATATGTGAAAAAATGTCGATTTTCTAGAAAGCTTTGAAAATATTATCATTATAAAATTAATTTGAATGAAGACTATTATATAGTCAAATGTCTTTTCGAACTTGTTTAGTTGAAGCTAATGGACTAATCTATGTCTATTTATTTGCTGCTTAATAAAATCAAGTAAGTTATTTTACCCTCGAAACAAAATTCGCTCGTGTATTTAATAAAACTCCAATTTAGACTTTTTAATTTTATTAAAAATATTTATTTTTTTAATTTTTATATTAAAAAAAACAACTAAAAAGTTTTCATACTGTTATGTGCTTGTTCAACAAGCACAACAAGTTGTTGCTGACACGTTGTTGACAATCATATAGATGGTCGTCATGTATATCTGTTGGTAAGCCAGTTATGCAACTGGCTAATCAACAGCTAATCAAGTTAATGCATTTTTTCAGTATTTGTAGACCATTTTAGTGTGTATAGGATACTCAAAAGAACAATACTTGAATTGACATGAGTAAGTAGGGTTATTAACCGTACTCTTTAAAGAGTATATGTGCTCTTTTTGAGCAAATAAAATTATGTACTCTTACTTTTTCTATAAATTATATAAATGTACTCTTTTTTAAATAAATATTTCGATGCTATTATACTGAAAAAAAGTTCAAAAATAATAAATATCCTTAATTTCAGCAAAAGCAGAAAACTGTTTTAGTTTAACTGTTGATTATGATTTGATTTGTTTGAGGTTCGATTTCTTTTTTTTTATATATCTTCACTTCCTACAAATATACAGACTAATGCCAGAATCAGTCAAAAACTTGCTAATGATACAATTTTATTTTAAAAATCTGAATTGTGAAAAATTTTTAAAATACTGTATTGATAATAAACCTTTATTAAACGAAGTTATAAGCAAAACCAAATATAATTTCACGTAAATTATTTTCAATTCTTAGTATAATGTTTTGAATCAGTAAGTAGATAATTTATTTTTGTTTACATTGTTTAGTGTGATTTTTAAAATACATATTTCAGAAATATTAAATTTTTAAATTTACGATTGACAAAAATTTAAACAACTTAAAAAATGCGCATAGCAATATATAATTGATATACAATTCAAAATAATTTTTTTAAGTATTTTTTTGGGGGGATTTTTTTTTTTTATTTTAAGGTTTTTTTTAATTAGAAATTTCAGGCCCAGAAATGTACTCTTTTTAGACAGAGTCCAGTTGATTACCCTTGAATGAGTCTTATCTAAGAGGCAACTATAATGCATAGAATAAATCTGTTTATGACTTTTTTACTTAGTTTGTGACTTTTTTTATCTAGTTTGAATTAAATATTGAAAAAGTTGAAATAAAGGATAAATCTAAGTTTAATTAAAATAAAAATTTATTTTAGTAGTATTTTTTATTTTTTTAAAAATAAAAATATTTTTTTTTTTTTTCTGCGGATATTCGGCAATATTTCTGCTAAATTTCTTAGGGATGGAGGGGTACGGTGGCCCATTTTTTTTTTTCCTAGAATAGCCCCTGATTCTATTTATTCAAAAATCCGCTTTTCTAGCACTGAGGAGACAGAGTGTCTTTTTTGAAGCATTGTAAACATAGTTCTTTGATTTTAAAACTTTTGGCTTTAAAGTGTTTCATACTTATTTATATAATGACTTTTTTAATGTAAAGGAATCAAATTAGTTTGACAACAATATATAGTGCATATAACAAAAAATAAATAAACAAATAACCTCAAAAGAATAAAAGAATAACCTCAAAAGTTTATTTATATAACTTTTTTTGAATAAAGTAGATAAAATGGGTTAAGTTCTGAACTGACCCGAAAATGAGCTAGTGAATAGCTAGTCACTACCTATATTTTTTACATATAAATTTGTCTGATTTTTAACTGTTATAACCTGTTGCAAAACATATGTGTTTCAACCAGAGGTGTAGTTACTTTGAATGAAATGAGGTATATATGTTGAAGATAAGTTTGCAATATAGAATATGTAATAAACATTCAATAATACTACAGAAAGTACAAAAATAATTTTGGCCTTTTTAAGGTTGCAAAAAATGAAGAACAAGTTATTTTATTAAATTGTTAGTCATTTTCTATGTTTAGATGCTCCCTTGAGTTTATCTAGGTGTTAGAAGTTGTCATTGAAAAATAAAGGTGAGTTAATTTGTTTTTTTAATAAAGCCTATAATACGAACTTAAGTAACTTTTAAATGAACAAAATATCTTTTAAATTAAACTAAAGTATCTTTTAAACGAATTAAAGTATCTTTTAAACTTTTTCAAATATAGCATTGATTTTATTTACTGTATTCTTCACTTAAGACTATTGAAAATATTTTTTTCTGGCTTTAAATTTTTTTAACATTTTATCGAGGAACTTAATAAATTATAAAAATCTTTTTGCTTTATTAAAATAAAAAAAAATTAGATCTTTACTTAAAAAGTTTATGCATAAATGCAGATCTAAATCTAAAAAGTGCTTAATCAGTAGCATACAGCTATGAGTACCTAGTTTTGAGGTTCAACTAAATGACACAATTCAGGGATATTTTTGTGATTGCGTTTCAAAAGTGTATTTTTTTTGTAACACTTTTTCGCTCGCACTATTATTTAGTTTTTCATTACATAGATTTAAAAAAAAAACATTTTGTTTTTGTGTCTGTGAAACCCATAATTAATTTTTTAAATTGTTAATAGCAGCAATTAAGATATTTTTGCTAAATGTTGTAGATTTGCACAATTCATGAATAAACACAAATCTGCATTAGGAAAAGCATGGTGCATTCAGTAACCATTGTTTATTAAATGCAGTGCTGAGAATTGACTTTAGATATTCAAAGGTTCTTGTCTTATTCCAGAATTTTTGGTAGGTCATGGGGTCTGGTTGATCTTTTCTAGCTTTTGTCAGGCAGCATAAAAAGTAATAATGCTACTATTAAATGCGAAAAAAATTTAAATATTGTCAAATAAGCATTCAAAAATTACTAGAGTGTTATGTTCAGATGCCACAGAAAAGAAAAAAAAAAATTACTAGAGTGTTATGTTCAGATGCCACAGAAAAGAAAAAAAAAAATTACTAGAGTGTTATGTTCAGATGCCACAGAAAAGAAAAGAAAAAAAATTACTAGAGTGTTATGTTCAGATGCCATAGAAAAGGAAAAAAAAAAAATTACTAGAGTGTTATGTTCAGATGCCACAGGAAAGAAAAAAAAAATTACTAGAGTGTTATGTTCAGATGCCACAGGAAAGAAAAAAAAAATTACTAGAGTGTTATGTTCAGATGCCACAGAAAAGAAAAAAAAAAATTACTAGAGTGTTATGTTCAGATGCCACAGAAAAGAAAAAAAAAAAAGGAATAATAAAAATCTCTGCTAAAAAATATTTTCTAATTTTTGATAGACCTTTGAAATCATAGCAGCCTACAAAACCTGATCTTCATAATTTATTTATTGTAACTATTTATTTTTTTAAATTGTACAAATTTTATTTAAAAAAAATTCAGCTTTTTTTAATCTTCATTTTTTCTCAAACGATAACGATACTCGGTTGTTAAAGTAATAAGTTTAAAAGCAAATTTTTATAAGTTTAATGGGAATATTTTCCTTAATTCTTATTCCCTTAAACTTTTAAAACTATTTTTTTTTTTACTATTATCACTGATATTGTTGGGTTTTTGTTTTTTTTTTTTGGTTTTTTCTTTTTTGGTTTTTTCTTGTCTAAAAATCTAAAAAAATATTTTGAGTATTAAAACCACTTTAAATTTATTTTTATTACAATTTTCATTAATTGAATGCTAGCCTTAGTTTCATGTTTCATCAAAGGTTACTAAAGATTTTATTTAGTTACTTATTACCATATAAAAATTACTAAAGAATTTTCTTTAAATATTTTCTAATTTTTGCAGAATTTGCATTAAAAATATGAAGAAAATACTTCCCATATTTTAGGCTTGTCTGTTTCTATAAATTAGATTTGTGTTATATTTATTGTTAAGTTCACATTGTTTACATATATTTATTTTATTTAAGAATGTACCATAAAAATCTTAATTTTATTTGCTTCTTGCGCTCTATAAAAAAAAAGGTTTTGCTTTCTTTAAAATTTATAGAAAAGTTATAAGATTTATGAGAAACACTTATTTTAAAAACAAATAAAATAAAAGCAAATAATATTGATTCAAAAAACATTTTGGATTTTCTAAAAGAAAATCCTACAATGATGTCATTTTTATAGTTTTTTTATCAAGTCTGTAGATTGTCGTGTATATTTTAAAGACTTAAAAATCACACTATAAAGGAAACGGCAAGCTTCAACTAATACTAAAAAGTTAGATTTCCTTGGTATACGTTTATTATTTTAATTTAATCAAAAATATTTAGCCCAAACATTTTTTTTTAAACATTCTCTTTAAAATGAACACAACTTGGTTTCAACACTTCGAAATCCTTTTAAAGCTGTTAAAAATAAGAAGCATTTCAGTGTTACACAAATAAAACTCTAAACAAGTCCTAATATATCTAACAGAAGAGTTATTGAAAAATGAGGGTTTAAATCCCGCACTTTGCAAACAAATGATTTAGGGAAATTACTTTAATAAGGTATAAAACTAGAGTATTCAGAGCTTTGAAAAATTATCACAATAAAATAAAGGCTGTGCTAATTTAGCAACAGGAATGTATGCAGAACATCAGTCATAAAAAAGAATATCTTTTCAGGCTATTGTTTGTGCTCTCATACAAATGCAACAGTTGTCTTAAGATTAAATGAAGCTAAGAAAAAAACTCCTGATACTATTAATTCTAACAAAGAAAGTGCTGGTGATTTCTTCTTGGTTTATATGAAGTAAATTCTGGAGTTAATATGAAGTAATTCTTGGAGTTAATTGTATCTACTAATTTTTTTAAGCAATTTGCCATGACAAAATCTTTGAATAACATCACTAAATCTTTTTTTCAGTGCTGCATTTATGTCATTTGTTGTCATAGTTTTCTAGTTCTGTGCATTTCTGGTTTTGCAGCAGGCTATCAAAAGACTTGAAGAGTCTGTTAAATAAATAGCAAATATGATATAATTATAGTACTACTACAAAAACATTTAAAATTTGAAAAAAATATCATGGCGTGGGAGGAATAATTGTAAAGTAAATTTATATGCCCCTTTATTATTATGATTAGCTTTTGAAATTTGATTAGGGAGCCATAATGATTGGTTTTAATTGTCATGATCATAATTAGTTCTACTTTTTAAGTTTTTACATATTAAATTTCTAATAATTTTTTTAATTGCAAAATTATTAAAAAAAGATCAATTTTTTTAAAAAGATGTTTAGAAAATTTGACTAAAAAAATATTCAATTAAAAAAAACAAAAATGATTTTAAAAATTACTCATTATCACAGTAAAACATATATAATATCAAAAAAAATAATATCAAAAAAATAATATATATATAAAAAAAAAATTATGCACTATTTAATGGTACTATTCATAAATTACAAAAACCAATATTTAAACGCTAAAGGTCATAGTTTTAAAGATCCCCTTAAAACCAATCATGGGTTGCCACAATTTAACAGAAAACCCACCATTGTAATTCACCGTACTCAAAAGGTTAATCTGTTGAAAAATTTTTAAAATTTTGTTTTAAAATTTTTTTGAGTTTTTAAAAAGATTCTCAATTATTCCATCTGATTTTTACAAGCCCTTCATGCTGTGTATCAATAAATTAGAAAAATTCATGAGAGTATATGTTTTTGTTTTTTTTAATTTAAACAATGTTCAAGTTTGCAAAATTGTAAAAAAAAAAAAAAAAAAGCACTCTATACTCTTCTTTATCATCAAAAGAATTATTTAAAGTATAGCAAAATGTCTGCTTATCAAAATATCAAATAATACAGCTTAATAATACTGTAGCTTTTAGTTGCTAGCTGGATTAAGCTTGCCATTCTTGTGGTCTAATTGCTTTCTTTACTTTTGTGAATATTGCTAGCTAGACCCTAACAAATTTTCCCTTTGGCATAATAAAAATTTTTTTTTTTTTTAATTTCTAGATGTTGTTTTTAAATAAAAGACAAATTGCAATTTTGATTATCAAAATTTAAAATGATTTTTTATTATTCAATGTAAAAATTTCAGTTGTAACTAATATATATATATATATATATATATATATATATATATATATATATATATATATATATATATATATATATATATATATATATATATATATATATATATATATATATATATATATATATGTTGTCTGTATTTCTAGCGCAAATAATAAAATATTTTTTTAATATACTGGCTGAAAAAAGTCGCAAATAATTTGTATACCAAAAAATGTTTTTATTTTTGTTATATTTTTATCTGCTTTTTTCCTTAGCTTTTATCCATTTTGGTAGTGAAAAATAACAAATGCCCTAAAATAAAAGTAAACAAAAAAATTTTTTGACAAAATTTTTATTATTAATTAATTTTCAATTTTCATTTAATTTTATTTAGACTATTTCTAAAAAAAAAAATAATCTGTTTGTTGGAATTGAACCATCATCTAATTTCGATATCGCAGTCTCGCCTGAAAAAAAGATCTTTATAATATTTTTCGTAGTAATGCTACAGTTTAATTATTTCTTTTGTTTATCTTACTTATCTTAACTTGTTTCTCCGCACAGCGGCCTTGTTTGTCAAGGTTCCTGTTTTGGAGTTATAGAGTTAAAAGAAGGTTGTATCCACAACTAAAGTAGCCTCCTCAACTGTAGTGGCCTTTGTAGCCTTAGGGAGGTGAATTGAAATTAAAAAAAAAACTTAAAAAGCATTGTTTTAATTATTTTAAACTTTGCAAACTATGCAAAGCATGAAATGGTTATAAAAAAATATTTACTCTTTTATTTATTATATAATTCAGCTACTAATAGTTTTATTAGAATCTTGTTGAAATAAAACATAAATGCTTAAATAAAGAATTATATCACTCTTTGATAAATCAAAGAGATTTTTGTTTCTTTACTAAACAATTATGAATTGTAAGTAAAAGTCTTTATTTCAATTTTACTGATGCAAGTTTAATTACGAAAATTGGGATTTTTTTTAATTTTTAGATGTCATTCTGAATAGTTTATTGTTATGACAAAATTAGAGTGTGGTCTTTTCTTAATCAGAAAAAAAAAACTACATGAAACTTAAATTTGTTACTTATAAAACAGGAATTATGAAAAATCAAAGGAAAAAATAGGTTTTAATTTTTTTAGTTTGTTATGTTTTAGTTAAGTTTTTTTCTTCGTTAAAAATTTCTTTTTTTAGTTAATTTTTTAATAGTTGTCTCCCGTTAAGTTTTTTTTTTTTTTTTTTTTCGCATTTTGAAATGTTTTCAAAACATCTAAAAACCTGTGGCCATGTTGTTACACTAAATATTAAATGCGTGGCCAGATATAGAGTACCATAGAATCTTTTAATTTATAAAGCATTTCGATAATTCGTAGCAAAAAGCTAAACTTATCTACGAAGAAAAAAAAAAATTCTAAAAAACCGAAACAAAATTGTAAAGAAATATTAAGTTAAATAAACAGGAAAATAAATATCAAGTTAAATAAACAGGAAAGTTTAATAATGAAAAAAAGTAATTTTTTTTTTTATATATATAAAAAATTTTATATTTATAAATTAGGGTCATTGTTGAAAAAAACATTATCTTTTATAACAATTTAACAACAATTGACAGTTTTAATATGCAATTTATTCACAATTTTTTTCAGTCTATATAATTAAGAAACCAATTTGTATGCAAGAACTATAAGAAATTTTTTTAATTTTTTTTTGTATGTTTATTATGTTTATTCGTTTTGACATATTTTCTCTATTAAAAACGTTTTTGCTATATTTTACGTTTTTTCTCAATACTTATACAATAGAAAAATAAGAAAATAAATTGTTATTTATTTGTAACAAATATTATTTGATTAATAAATTTTGTAATGGCGGAATAAGTTAAATAAAAGAATAAGATAAATATATTTACCGCATTTGATGCATGTCTGAAATTGCTTCTTTAATATTGTCCAATTTCCAATGTTAATACAAATTACAAGAGAAAATTAACAATTGCTCTATTTTAAAAAATGCATTTAAAAACTTAAAAAAAGGTTTTAAATAGACTACTAAAAATTTCGTTAAAAAAGTCCAGTAAATTAATAATGCACTAGCTCAAAACTTGATAAAAATTTTTTTTTTTTACAAATAAATAGCAATTAGTTTTCTTACTGTGCATTGATATAAACAGTAAAGTTTAGACAGGCAAAGACAAATTCTATTAGATTATACATATTTTAGTAAAACTTTAAAATTTTTAAAGTGTTTTTAATATCATATTAAAAACACTTTAAATTTTTTTTTTTTTAATTCTTTAAGTGAAGTAATGTTTGGTTGCATATTATATGCAAACAAACATTACTTCACTTAAAGAAAAATAAGAAAATTTAAAAAAAAGCACATTATTGAAGAGAGCAATCATAATGTTTAAAGGGATCCCAAAGTGTCGAGACAAGTTCTGTTCATTTTAAAGAGAATGATTAAAAAAAAAAATGTTTGGGCTGAATTTTTCTGAATAAAACAATATAATAAATGTATACCAAGAAAAACTAATTTTGTTGTTTTACTCAAAGCTCTCTTTTACTCAAGTCTCCGTGTTGGCCAGTTGCTTTAAGTCTTTAAAATATATGCCGCACTCTACAGACTTTAGAATTTACTCAAGCACGTTTAATTCAATAAAGTTTTAGTATATGATCTCATTGTAGTTTGTTTTTTTTAATATATCAATTTTTTTTTTTTTTTTAAATCAATATTATTTGTTTTTTAAAATAAGCGTTGGTCATCAATCTTATGACTTTCTTATAAATTTTATAGGAAGCTAATCAAAAGAATGTTTTTTTATAGAGCATGTGAACCGAATAAAATTATAGTTTTTTTGATACACTCTTAAATATAATAAATATATAGAAAAAAGATGTTGATCACTTTATTATATATTCTGAATATTTTTCTTTTTATGTAAACAATGTGAATTTTTTTCTAGTTTATCTAAGCCATTTATTGCTATGACGATTTTGTTCTCCTATCGAAATTTTAAAAGTTCTTAAATTGTTAATTAATAAATAATTTTGGTAAACAACATCATTTATTAGAGATATTTCCCAAATTCTTTAATTTTTAGTTGAAAAAATATTTGTAGTTTTTACATGTAAAGCATAAATACCGGTTCAAAACTTCCCTCTAATGGACAAGTACTGGTAGTTTTGTTCTATAATATTTGTAAAGTAAATTTAAGTGTCATTAAAAGTGCAAATCTTACTATCCAGTAAATAATTTGAATGTATTATTTACTGGAACATACTGATTAAATCATTACCTAAATGTGTAAAGAAGTTTCATTATACAAATTTTGGAGAGATTTGCAAAAAAATGTGAGGAAAAATAAAAGCAAACTATGTCAACAAGAGTTTCTTTCAAACTTAAACAATTTGCTTGACATAGCTCATGCCATGCGCTTCAGCTAATTAAAATAAATGAAGATAGGATTTTCTTGGAGCGCCAAAGAGAACCAGATCGGCCTGGTCACATAGTTAGAGTGGATAAAAAAACATTTCAGAAACATTGATGAGGAAAAGCAACATGCTAAATATTATGATTTGTTAGCTCCATCAACATCATCTTATGAACTGCCACAAGAAAACTTCTGATTCTAAAACAATAGATTGTTAAGAAAATAGACCCAGCCTAAGTGGTGCTTCTTCTCAGTCTGATTGTATGTGGAAAAATTTAATAACTCCGAAGTTGGTTGCCGCGCTAGATAGATGTCAGTTATGTGCGAAAGATTCTGTATATATAATTGAAGATAATATTGACGCACTTGAGCATAAC